TACTAAAGCGTTTCATTCCTGTTAGATGTGGCATATGACAGATTAACATGTAATTTACAACGTATAAATATTCGTCTATCATTTTGAACGTCGTCGCAAATTCATTTCATCTATACCAATGTTATAAAGAGGAAATATTTTATTGTTAATTTGTTTGTTTGCATCGAATAAGCTCCGAGACAAATGGACCGATTTTAAAAATTCTTTCATCTACGTGTACATAATATGGGATTGACATAGGCTAATAATACATAATATACACGTGCGAAGTTGCGGAAAAATATATTGTCAACGCTGCATGAACAGGGGGCCAATTCTACTAAATAAATTATGTTTAAATTGAATCAAAAACGGATCGAAAACAGATCGAAACCGAACGAAACTACAGTTTTTAATGGTTTTCCTATTCTACAAAGTGACATACAATACAATTTCAGTTCTATTTTAGCTGGAATTGTATCGTATGTCACTTATTAGAATAGAAAAACCATTAAAAACTGTAGTTTCGTTCGGTTTCGATCCGTTTTCGATTCGATTTAAACAAAATTTATTTAGTAGAATTGGCCCCCAGGCTTACCCTTTTCGAATGGTTCATAATCCCACCATGCAAATCCACTAAAGATAGGTGGGTATTATCGTCAGCAAACGCAGCCGGGATTAATTGTTTGACGTTCCTTCTGAAGCACGGAGTTCGAGACAACAAATTTATGGTCACCCAACGTATAACAGTTTCCTACGAAAGTTACTACACTCGAGCTCTTAAAAATAGTTTAAATATGAATAGAGCTCGTCTCTGTTAACAAATATAATGAACAATCATCATCACCAGCCCTTTTACGTCCCCACTGCAGGGGCTCAGGCCTTCCTTATGGATGGTTAAGGAGGATGGGCCATGACCACGCTGGCCCAATGCGGATTGGAGGGTAGAATATAATGAACAAGGACGCTAGTTATTAGCGAAAACAAATAAGTATCGGTTAACTACATCAATCGGACTCCAATTGCACACGTGTACAATCAAAGGATTTTCCCACAGGTACAGAAATAACGTGTTTACACCATCTCGTGTCTCGTTTCAGAGCAATTTCCGGACAATATGTGTTTTGAATAAAAATGTTGTCGCTATTAAAATGAACGGGTTCCATCGTAAAATTTTCCCATTGATCTCATTTCAACGAATATAGCAATGCATTTCTCTTTCACGACACGATGTATTGGTCCATATAAACAGATAAGGTAAAGATTACTTTGAATTAACCGGCCTTGTCTATACTAATATTAATAAAGATATGATTGTTTGTTTATATTTAATAGACTCCGAGACTCAATAGTCATGTACCACATAGTAAATTATGACGTAAATTAGTTATTGAACTCAATTTAGAAATGCTTTCATTTCTACGTCACACTTTAGGAAGACGACGGGAAAACAGATAGTATTCTATATAAAGAAATGTATCTAGATTTAAATACATATTACATTTTCTGTTACCCTTCGCATAAAAACCAACATGTGACAAATAAAGAATTTAAATAAATAAATAATTTTTTCATAATATCGACAGACTAGTTTATTAAGTTTTAATAGAGGCACCATTACTTTAATACCAAAAAACATAAAATAACAAAAGTTTATCACAAACAGCTCTGACTCAATCAGTAACAGTTAGGTAGTACAAAAAGAAAAATCGGATACAATACTAAAACCTCACAAAAAAAAACCGAATTCACAACTAACTATTCTTCATTTTGTATTCTTCACAGACCCAACCTTCGTCCCAACTTTGACAATATACTTTTAGCTTTTGACCGATACCGTTTTGAATGGCAAAATAGAAGAAAAACATACGTGAGATGACACGAGTATATCGGATTAACGTCAACACTTACAACATCTATTCTTTCTATCCTCGGAAATAAAAAAAACAAGTGTCAGAACCTCTTTCGTATAATTCTACTTGATATATGAGGTCACGCTCGCAACTAATAAAATCATATTATGATACAATACCAATACAAAATATATCTTATACTAAATATATAATTAAATGATTAACTTCAAATATACTTGTTGAACTTCTAATAATTTATGTAAAATATTATTGAGTATTCTTAATTTGATTACGCCTGTATCCCGGGCTTTATTAATAACCTAAATAACTTCGTCACAGGTGTGCAAAATTAACGCCGACCTTTGGAATACTGCCATTTTCAAGAGTCAATGTTGCCTTTATAACGAGATAGCTGACAGCTAAGCTAATAAAAATTAGATCAAAACGTTTCGGGTCCTGTATTAAAATCTATTTCTATACATAGTATGAAATAAACTCGTCTGCCGCTGTCTATTGTACTTTGAGATCTTTTAAACTACACAATAGATCCTAATACAGATTTAAGGTGAAGGTTAATATATGTATAATAAAGGATCATATGAGCGAAGCCGCTGGCCGAACATAAGAGTTAAATTTATAATTTTAAATACGTAATTGAAGCATTGTTACAACAGAAGTCGCTCATAAATGTCGCTGTTATGTATACAAGGACGTAACTCCTTTCGTACTGGTTGCATAAAAATAATGAGGTTATCCCTGATAAATTAACTAGGTCACTCGTGTTTGCGCGTATGCCCAGAGGTAGCTGAGCTTGTATTAAAAGCGCCCGCATCGCGGTTACTGTTATATAATAGATGGATTTCCTAGCAAACTTAATTAATTTAAAGTGTCGGTTCTCATATCGCCACAATATTGATGGAACTGCTCTAGAGTTAAGTCCTGTTTAAACCAATTGGGGTTACCCGAAGGCAAAGTACACAAACTGTTTTAGTGGGTTTACATATTTGTAAAGAAACGTTTAATGAATCATAAATGGAAACATAATGATTGCTCCTTCTTATTGTTTTGTCTGATCTTCTTTATACGAGTATTATATCTTTATTTAGTATAAACTTACAATTATTTTTTTAAAATAAAAGTTTCATTATCACAATAATGTCAAAACAAATTACCTACTTAATAAGTTGAAAACATTTAAGATTTTCTTAACTTTTACATTAGAAGTTTTCATTGAAAATCAAGTCAGATCCAATTATGTATCTTTGATATCTTACTTCTTGATAATAGGACCAACAAAATGTAAGAAACAAGTAAATAATTAGTTCATAAATTTAATTTTCTTAGGTTATTCTCTAAAGTAGGATTACATTTTTGATAAAATTAATCGTCTATTGGGTCTGCCCAAATTAAATAGATATTTACGGGGAAGTGAATTTTGTCACATCACAGCTGTCAACTGCAATAATGAAAAATTTTAAAAACTATTCACGATAAAGAAAGTATTTAATTATTATTAAATTACTTCTTAACTATTTTTTATGTAAAAATAGACATTTTGATTTAATGTGCCACATATTATAATTTGTACAAATTTTTTATCCTGACATACTTAACCCTAAAACAGGCCGTAAGTCTAAAATTAATTTATTAACTATTCGGGCGGGCGTCTTTGGGTCACCAAGTTACATTTATTTGCACAATTTCAATTCCATCAACATCCGCCGTGACAGACAGAGAACATTCTGTCAAATTATGAACCTCCTTCTTTTTAAAGTTCCTTAAACATTCGGTTAGATTTAGGAACAAGTTTTTTAATAAAAATATTTGGACATGTCCACTTTTTATTGTAAAAAGTGCAATTACAGCGGATGCTCGGAACAATGTGGAATGATGGGACCGAAGCCTGCCTTACGACATTATTGTCATTGTTGAAATAAGAACAGCGCTATGTTTGAAATATTAAAAAAAAGGTTAATGATTAAATGAATCTTCACAAAATTCTACATTTATAAAAAAAAGATATTAACTTAACTATGAATCATTGGGAGAAAATTTGAAATAAAATAATAATAACAATGTCGCGAGTCGTCAACTGCACAAATCCACATAAAGATATGAGAATTTACGAGTCAATATAACCTTTAAAGTATCTAGGCCAATGGTTGTGAAATGACATTGTTTACTATAATCTTTACGAGAATACCTAGTAGCAAGCGGCAAAATTACTATGTAACGCTTTATAATCCATTGATATTTTATTATTTTCTATCTATGTGTTAAGTACACAACACTATTTGTTACCATACAATATTAGTAATTGTGAACTTTGATGAAATTCGGTAATAAATATTCCGCTCTAAAATAAATTATGATGCTGATATTACGTACCTTATTAAAATCAGTAACCGCTGCCTTTATTAGGAAGAATTTCCATTGGAAATGTCTAATCAATGTTATTAAATTGATGGATTGGAAAATAATAACATTTGCAGTGAATTTCTAGAACTTACCTCATCAGCAATTCTTAATATTAAGCTTCTAAAGCTAATATTTGGATATCTTAATTCAAAAGAATGTACGTATTTCCATATCTTGTTAATTAATTATTAGGTATTCTTTATTTAAGTGTTTGACCGATAATTCATTTGAAGAAATTGGACAAAACGGCTTACATGTTGTAATATGCTAATATATGTTTATTGTTATTATGAACTTTTTATTTATATTATACTACAATAACTACAATCAGAATATGAGGTTTTAGATGTAATGACGGGACTATTTGAAAAAACCAAATGCGACTCGGATTCGCTCACGAAGGGTTTCGTACCATTATCCATTAAAAGTTAAAAAAAATCACGTTGTTGTATGGGAGCCAACTGAATTATTTATTATATTCGATGTTATAGCGACAACAGATAAACATCATCTGCAAAAATTTCAATTGTATAACTATCACGGTTCATGAGATATTGGCCTGGTGAAAGAAGGACAGACAAAGATAGACGGACGGACAGACAAACGGACAATATGCAAAATCTTAGTGATAGGGAAATGTTTTACTCTTTGGGTAACCCTTAAAAAAGAGGAACCTAAAATAATACAAAAGATAAATCGTTTAAGTTTGTGAAGGATATATAGAAGTTAACGGTACTGTTTTAATTTCAGAAAGATCTGGTGGTCATGGCAACGAGGTGGTTTGCCCTTGTGCTGGTCGCGGTCAGCTGGCGGTACAGCGACGCCTGCACATGCAGTGCACTCGAGCACCCACAAACACATTTTTGCAACAGTGATTTTGGTTAGTATATTAACTCCATTATGTGTTACGTATATATTTTGTTTACGTATCACTTGGTTGGACCGATTTAGACTCTTTATTATAGTTGATTAGAGGATAAAAATTGTATATGGGAGCTGACGTCAGTTTTCAAAATACATGCCATAAATATTTTGAATTCTACCTAACTCTTAAGGCTCAGACCGCACTGTGATGAATATAAGCGCACGTATTAGTCAAATGAAACAGGGAGCCTCAATGTATGCAGTTCTATTTAAAAAAAAACGTGCGCTCTTGTTTCTTTGCTTACATTCCCATACAACTACGCATCGAGTGTAAAACACGCACACTTATTTCATAGATTTTTAATTTTTTGTATACTTTAGAATAAATTAAAACCTATTTTTATCCGTCTTCAAAATCCAAAAGGAGAATTATATATTAGACGGTGATATATATTTTTTTTATATTCACCGATATTTACGCCGCTTGTTGACAGATTTTCAAAATTCTTGTTTTATTCGACAGGTTAATGGACCTTATTAAATTTTATCGAAATCGAATCAATAGTATTCCTTTTATAACAAAACAAAATACGCTTTTCACCATATATCACAAATATTCAATGTATTGTATTTTATGTATCTCAGCTAAACAACTAAAAGTACCGTAGGTATTTTGAATTCATTCAAAATCCGAATGGAGGATTTTCTATGTTCAAGGAGTATGTATATTTTTTTATTCAAGTCTGTATGGTCGCGATTTCTTCTTAAAAAGTGAACCAATTTTTATCAAACAAGCTGTTTACCCGCGATTCACCTGCAAAAGTTATAGCCTATACTCAACACGTATCATTTTATAATTTAAATTATATATATTTATTTTATTGTTGTATTACTTTAATAAGAACTTCATAAACAAATTTTTTTATACGTACCTAGTCGGATTTTTTATTAAGGTATTTTCAATAAAATAATATAATAGTGTTTATCTCAAAAACTTTAATCAATTTGACTAATTGGATTTATTTTCAGTATTCCGCACACTAAACATAAAAAGAAGAAATAACTCTTAACCAGAGCAATTATATGAATATAACATGTATACTTTTATGGATTACGGGCTTCTGTTAGGGATTGCGTCTACGTGAACGGCCGATTTGTTATCCCTGGGGAGCCTTTATGTTACGGTTCAAGAACAAGTGACAAAGTAAAAAAAATAACAGAAAACAAAAACCAAAACATGACATTCCTTATAAAATAAAATGTATCTAATAACCAAACATGTAAAGAGGTGCTATCACACATTAACTTTTTATCAGGTTCTAAAAGTATTTTATTGTCGGAGTGGATTGCCTTAACATTGATGAAAATACGCACCGTAGTAACGAAAATGTAATAAGTGCTTGAGCTCAGTGGTAAGAGCAGTCGCTCGGATTGTGAAAAGTCGTGGGTTCAAATCCCATCTCAGAGTACCAGAGGCAAAGCGGATTATTTAAACCTTTTTATTAGAGATAAAAAAAGTTTCAACATGATATAAATTAAAAATATACCATAAAGTAATTGTCTTACTTAAAATTGTATTTAAGAATTTTTTTTTTCTATTTTTAGTTATTGTTGGGCGAGTTCAGAAGACATTTCGAGGATCTAGTTTTTACGATGCATACAAAGTCAAAATAAGGAACGTTTTCAAAGTGAGTTCTTTTTTTAAATTTTTAAATAACTTTGTAACGGTGTGCCATGCCACCGTTTGTTTTCCTAGGTTTCAGTATGCAAACTTTTTACTTTTGAAATTCAACATCATTTCATTTTATTATTCGTCTTTCGTAATTTAAAATTTTGACTAATCAATTATACTCTTTATGGATGTCAGTTCGTAAGAAATTCTCCTATGCACAAGATGAAATTATAATACAATACAATATTAATGGTATAAATTTTACTATGTAATTTTAAAATAATTCATTTATTGTGATAAATTATGTGATATAGTGATACAAATTATATAACATATGTAACTACTAAATTGTAATCTGTATTTTGGAAGATCCAAAAGTTAACTAGAAGCCCGACAAGGGTTTTTTCTTATTACCCTTATTTAACTAATAAATATATACTCAAGCTAAGCAGCCTTATTAATTGGCCCAAGCACCGAACCCGTAACAACTTGTTATTGATAATTTTATCTATAATAAATCTTGATATTTTAGCAATTAGAGTTTAAAAACTACAATTTGCTGGCTTGCTTTGGATATACTTATATTTTTTTTTGTTTAGGCATCACCAAAAGCAGAGGTTGCTCTCAAGTCTGGACGTTTGTTAACACCTTCAGCAGAATCGTTGTGCGGTGTCACCCTGAAACCTAGAGAGACTTACGTCATCACAGGTAAATATAATATTTTCTATTACATTATCCTTATAACATCTTTTAAGTACCTAAAATTATTTTAATATGTTTGTGTTTAAAACAAGATTATTTCCTTATAAGAAGCACAAAGAAAAATTCTTTTTCTGTTAAATAAAGTGAACTGATACAATATAATTTGCAAGTAAAGTACTGCCTATACTAATATATTACAAATAGGTAAAGTTTCAAATATTGTTTGTTTGTTTTTAGTGGGTAATTTTGGGTGGGGTAGGGTGGCCACGCGGATGACATAGTCAAAAATATTAAGCCGAGCTTTAAGTCTTGCCTAAAAGTATCTAAACAATTTGTTTTATATTTTACAGGTAGGGTGGTCCAGCTGCAAGCGCACATACACTTGTGCGAGTATATAAAGAAATGGCGTGAGGTCACGCCACGGCAACGGAAGGGGTTCCGACTGCTTTATAAGCAGGGATGCACTTGCAAAGTAAGTTTTGCCAACATAATAAATTACTATTACCTACTTTAAAGTCTATATTCTTTAATAAAATTATTTTACGTGAGCTTTGGGATAAAAGTAATATTATTTAACTTGAATTTAATCAATAAAAAATAAGTGTAATTAAACAGATCAATAAATTGATTTAAAAAATGATTTAAAAAAAATCGTAAATGATTTTAAATTTATGTAAATAATACTGATGTCAACGTCATCAGTAAATAGAATTAAGCTTTAATTCATATAAAAATGAAAATAACCGTCATAGTTTGGAATATTCTCTAGGTGTGTGACCTGTTTTCCATTTTCTGTAAGCTGCAAATAGTAATATACGTTGCCGCTGTAACAGCGACCATTCGACATTAAATAAACTCTTGCAACACGCCGTGCGACTCAACAATCAAATATTATTTTAGCATCAGCTTTGAAATTTCACTCCTAAGGAAATAATTTTAAAAAAATTGTCGCTATCAGTAAAGTTAAAATATATAACTTTTAAATTAAGATTCATAATATGAGCGGAGGGATCAAACATTATTATTTGAAGTTATAATATAAGTCTATTTCAAATTTATTTTATTTTTATTTTTGCAAACGCAAAAAAGAGTTTGCAAACTCCTTTATTAGTCTGACTTGCAAATATGTGAATAACATGAGCTTTTTCTTTAAAAAAAACCGCATTGTATAAACATAATATACTGTCGTTATTTTTTTTTTTGTGATAAACCAAACAATAACAAATAGAAAATACGAAAAGATCCATCTGAATACCAGCCATTGATACATGATTCGATGAATATCGCCCAAAATTGACAACAACAGACCTTTCGAATGATATGAATAAAAATGTGAATATCTGAAGCATGACTTTTTATGTCCAAATGGAATTACATTTAATATGAAAAAGTTTATTAGATAGATTTCTAGTTGGAATAGATAGGAATTTAATATTAACAAAGTTCTTGTACTTAATTAAATGTAAACTAATACCTATGTAATTTAAGGTGATATATACTCAACTCGATTATTAAACAAGTTTGCTTCTAGTAAAGTGCTGATATTTGTGCAAAAGCTTTATTATCAAAATTAAACAATAGATCAAGCATTTTGTAATAACAGATATAAGAAAATTTTATAATTGGCTTAATGATAAAAAAGCATATATGAAATTGCTAGTTTTTATATTGCATTTCGAGTTTGTTAATTGATTGTTCACACGAAACTTAAATTTTTTTATTCAATATATGTTAATTTGCATGGAGAAACATTAATTTCACTTAAGTATTAATAAGGCAGATCGGAAGGAATTCCATTTAAACTAATTTCCTAAATTAGTAATGATTGACTAACGAACTACAAACTAATTAAAGAGAATTACTCAGATTATAAATTGTAGGTTCATGATATTTTCTATAATACTATGTAATAAAAAAAAACAAAAGAAAATATTAATAATACAAACCGTATACAAAAAGTATCAACGTCGCTGGTATTAAACTATTCTAATCTATACTAATTTTATTAAGTGTTTGTAGGGGCTAATCATCGGATAAACAGATAATATCACGAAAATTCTTTCACCTACGGGAAGCTATCATATGGTTAGCTATAATTTACGCGAGTGAAGTCGCGATAAAACAGCTAGTAAACCTATAAATCAACAATCTATTTCAGGTGCACCAGACACGACGTAAGACGAAATCACCTAACACATGCGTGACGAACTATGACGAATGTTACGATCGACACGGCATCTGCCTGCACGATCGCATGAGGCGCTGTCGCTGGACAAGGTAATTCAATTGTCATGTTAACTTTAGTGTCTGTTATAAAAATTCGATTAGACATCCAATTAAAGTTAAACTTTATGTCAAATTTGACAATATCTGTCACGCTGACTTTAAACATTGACTGCGGAATGCGTTGCACCCTAAGGTTGTACTATCAAATTTCAATTTATTCAATGCAAGTCATATGTCATACAGATGTTATTAATAAATTTTGTACAAGACACCCTGTAAGGGCACAGCAATACTGAGGGGCAACTATTGCCATGTTTACTTATAAATATTATTATTAATACATTTAATAGCTATTTATACATCCAATATACTTTAAACTCGATTAATATATTCATTTATTAATTCGTTTAATAATTATTTTATTTATTTACTTAATTTATTAACCTTAAACAAAGATAATACATTCATTCATATATACTTTATTTATTATTTAGTTACAATTTGTTGCTCATGCTCTTTCTTGGCATAGTAAAACAATAACTTTAATCAGCGAAGCTTCGGTAGTTACAGATAGCGTTATGACGTCATTTTATCATTGCCAAATGATGCAACTGATTATTTACTCAACCGGTACTTTAACATATTTCTTGTCGTTTAAGTCAATCACCAGCCCTTTTATGTCCCCACTGCAGGGGCTCAGGCCTTCCTTATGGATGGTTAAGGAGGATGGTTGTCGTTTAAGTATATCGGTGCATTCGAAACATATTCTATCATATATATTTCATATTGTCTATTCAACTGGAGTACCTACTTATATGTAGAGTACTTTACATGTAGTATTCAATAGGTACCTATTACAGTACTTTACATGTAGTATTCAATAGGTACCATAGTACCTATTCAATTTAGTATAATTTCTACGACCTCTGTGGCTCGCACGCACAACCTGGAATTCTATTTCCGGTCGGGTCCAATATAAAAACATACGTTTCTATATTGTCTCGGGTCTTGCTGTTGTGGTACATTCGTTGTTTAAATAATTGATTTGCAACCTAAACAATGTATGTAACGTTGTCATTAATTTCGAAACTCAAAACATTAATGATCGGATTTCCTTAGCTAGAAAGTTTGCAAACTAAATTTACACTCTATATATACATAATATAATATCCTTATATAATTTCGGTATCAATGATGGTGAAAAGCATAAAATTATATTTTTGTAAGTAAAAAATTATTTTCTAAAAAGATGGCCGAAGTCACGCTTAGTTTGGCATGACGTAACCATGATATAAACACACGAGCAATTCGTGCTAAGTGTATGTGGGAACACCACAACATGCATTGTATCGTTTATGTGGGAATACACTATTGTTAAAATCAAAACATCACAAATCAACACCGCGTTATCTTTTTACCGAGATATGATCCGTAATACGAAATCTGTACTAATACTAGCTGACCCGAAAGACGTTGTCCTGTCTTTGTACTTTGATCTCAGCCAAAAGGCCGAGAAGCGATATTTGTCCTGACTTAATTATGAAATTTTACAGCACGCATTCTGTCAAATCTATGTCAATCATCATAAGGTTACATTAAAAAAGTTTATATTATCTAAAGCACTAAGGTTAGATTAGAAATAATTTGAAGTGTTGGCAAAATATTCTTAAATTTTCAAATTTTCCATTCATTTTCTTATTTGTTTCTTCAATAAGTTGTTAAAAACATCAGTACTGCAAATATGGTAGTTCGAATATCACAGAATGCACAAATGAAATAAATAAAAGACGAAAGAGAGGGACCACAGTCTCACACTTTCATTATTCAGAGAACGATCGCTCTCGTGAATTCTTTTGGTGTTGGATATCAGACGAGTGTAGCTATGTGATTGTCACCGATTGATGAATCAGCACATTTCGCAAACATTTCCTAAATATAACGATACGAATACATTATATAGTATCTATAGGCACTAAACAAAAGGCGTATAAACAATACATTCGAATACATTTAGAAATTACATGTCTCAATTTCATGTGAAAATCTGAAATTAATTATATGAAATGTTGGGATATTGTATACATTTTTAGCAAATCAAGTTAATACGGAGAGCCACTCAATCAATTTTGAACTCAATCACGGATTAAGGTTTTTTAAATCGATTAGAAAATTGGATCCTTTTCATAACCTGAAATTCTATCGCCTCTACAATAGTGTATCATCACTGTTTGTTATCCGGATAAAATAAAAAAATATTTCCTTTTCTATCCAGGACCAGTACACTTAAAATCGAGCGACTGTAGAGTAGAGCGACAATCTACATCATCTAGCTATAGGATACGACATCTTAGCGATATTATAGCGCTATTTCGTTTCATTAACCACTTGTACTTTAATAACGACGAACGAATGATGAATATAGATATAACAGCAGAGAGGTTGTGTTAATCGTTTATCCCAAAGTCAAAGTAGTAAAATAAATAAAATCTTGTCATAATATTCGCTAAATTGTCAAATCCTATGTCTAGAGAGTTAAGTGGTCGCACTACTTACGTTATTCAATGTTATACGAGTAGAATGGGGCATAGCATAACCTTTATCTACTAATAAAAACAGCTATAAAGCGTTATAATATATGATATTATATATACTTACGATATGTCTCAGTATTTTAACCACAGAAAAAGGATTTTAACCTTAAATAATACTAATCGAACCCATTGTTCCAGGGCTCCGACACTGACGAGGTGCCTTCAAACGAAGCATTCCAATGGCACCATGACTTGATAATTCACAAAGAGGAATTAATGTAAACAATACTGTACCTACCATTTGTATATCTCGATACGTCCACATGAAAAATTACAAATTTATCGAAATAGTAATTCAAAGCCAATATTGAGCCAAATATTCGTAATGTTAATTATCATTTTGTCGTTAATTTATGGAGATTAGATATTAGTTACTTACTTTTAAAATAACTATGTGATATCTAGAATGAAGTGTTTGAGAATGATCTACAAATTCAAATGTAAAGAATTTCATAATAGCACAGTAATTTTTCTCTTGGACGCTTTTGTTGTTTTGTCTATGCGGACGAATTAATTTTAACGTTATTTTTATATTATTTATTTTTAAGTTAAATATTGTAAATTAACAAATCATAGTGATATTACGATATTAGAATTAAATAAAAACGTTTTAAATCCTCTTGAATTTTTGCTATTACTCGAATTTTCTCGATTTATTAGTTGTTAACGTGACGCCTGCGTGAAAGTCAGAGCAATGTTAAATAAATAACTGTTTTTTAATCCGAAAATAACATGTGAACATTACAGAACTACTTTATAGAGTAGTGACTGAAATATAAAATGCAATAACACATTTGCTATTTAATTTATTATTATAAACTCACCATATCGGTATGATTATGGTAGTAAGTTTGCTCGATGAGAGGGAAGTTTTCTCTTCCAAGGCGTCGCTGAAGTTGTAGTAGGTGACCAAATACCCAAGGCCGATCCTGTACCGAATAATACAAATTTTATTAAAAAAATATTCCTTTCACAAAACAAAATCGTTGGCAAAATCCTTAAAGTCGAAATAGAAACAACGCGACTTTATAAAGAAGAAGGATAACAAACAGAAAAGATCCTATTGTTTGTTTGCATTGAAAATGCTCCGAAACCGACCGATTTTACATACACGCGGGTGACATAGGCTAAAATTTACGCGGACTAAGTCGCGGGAAAACAGCTACTAACTTTATAAAGTTAAAAGCTACTACTGAGTAAAATAAATTCGGACCTGGAAGTGATAGATGGAGTTAAGGCTGTTGATCGAAGGCACTCCACCAAATTTGAGACCAAGCAAGAGGGCGCGGTGATCAGCCCCTGCGTCTCTTACATTTTGTCTCACCAGCACGAAATCCGGCCTGTGTTACAAAATTTAGATATTCATCATTTAGAATAATTATAATTTCAAGGTTAAATAGTAAAGGAATAATAAATATGCCTAAATGAGATTTAACTATACTACTTATATAAAACATGCTATCTAACGTTCAATTTTAATATTAAATCTGTTACATTGGTAGTACATAAGATCTTTTAATTACCTACATAATAGTAAGTAATTTTATTAGTAGTTATAGTGATCTCCTAAATTTCATAAACGTCATCGATATTCAAAGACTAAGCTAAACAATGTTGAACTAAACTATAGTTAAAGATTATTTGTTGCATGTATAATGTACAAAAACAAAACTGTCAAGTAACTCCAATGAATTTTAAACCTTAAAATATAAGTATAAAGTTCAAAATCAACAGCGTACATTATTTGCAACCTGATTTCCTGCTGTGTGTACATTATCTTCATGTAAAAAGAAAATTGCTCGGAATTACACAAAGCTTTTTACTTAATATTCCTAAGTCAAAATATACTTACGCAAATAATCATTTTTAAGATATGTTGAAATGATGAAGAACTATGTTTCATGATTTCTTTGTACTTACTTGAAACAGCGTGTGACTTTGGTTCCACCGCGGTAAACAGCCATGGAGACGTTGGCGCCATCAGAGTTTGCTGTCACAGTTAACTCCTAAGGGGATTTATTTTTTCTTGAAAAACTAAGTAATTAAACACCTTAGAATAAAAACTGACTTAGAGTAAATAATGATGAGTTTTTAATGCTGTATGTATATTGTTTAAAGACGACTAATAGATAATTACACAACAAGAGTAATAATTGTAAAACTCTATATTCAACAACCTCCACGCACAATTTGTGCCTGCAAGATAGCTGTGGAAATTTTCTCAAATAAATGAGCGACAAGTGTAGCAACCACGAACAATTTTACATCATGTTTCACCCTTTGAAGCACGTTGTTAGTGGGTAAGCCTGCCGCTTACAATTGGTGTCCACTACAAATTCTAACCAGCAGGTTTACCGACTAACAACATATGTTTCGATTTGATTGACGTTGTGCAATATAAAACAAAATGCACTCAATGCATTGTTAGATACAGTGTTTACGTGCAATACATCGATTTGAATCAAATCAGATCAATTCCAATTTCACGGTAAAACACGGTTCAACACGGTAGGTTTGCAGTTGTGGAAATGACTAGATATCATATTCTTACATTTTTTCGCAAAAGATTTCAAGGAAGCAAGGTATCCTGATTCTAACAAGTAAATAATGAATTAGGAAAGATTTCATAATGCAGGTAAAATAATAAAAATAGGAATGTCCACATTACAATATGAATGTCAGATGTTCTCCAGAAATCTTCAAAGTACCCTAAAATTTAACAAGACGCTTTTGTTTAAAAGGCGCCGAGTGATTCTGAATGTAACGCTTAAAAAAGAACAGATTTAAGGAGCAAGTGGGAACAAGTAATATTGCGTGCAACTAAGTTTTTATTTACACTTTCTTCAAATTTCTACAGCATTTATAAATCACGAAGATTTATAGAAAGCAAAACATTGAGTTTTATTGTAGCTCCAAATAAAATATTGATTATTCCTAGCACGCAATTATTGTTTATTCTTATTTAAATTTATTTTTAAAGTTTTGAAATCTCAAATACCATTATTTAAACTGTTAATTTAAAGCACTATTTTACGTAGTGATGTTAAATAAGTTTTAACTAGCAATCTAATCAAGGGACTACAGCAAATACGTGGGGCCGCACGTCAAGTGGACATGAATATTGGAATAGTTGGTGTAACTGCTAAAACTTCGAAGCTTATCGTGTATATAACACATAGTAAGTATGCGCACGCAGAACTTAAGTTCAGTTTAAACGTCACTAAAACCGGTTCTCGTTTCTGGTTTTAGTTTCTTTAAAGATCAGTTGATAGCGATTTTTGACTTATGAAATTTAAAAATCTTAAGTTATTTAGAATAATCAGTTGAGATTTGTACTTTTCTCAAATCAGAAACCGGCTGTTAGTCTATTATAAATACGAAATAACATTTTTAAAAAATCGTGCTGATCATCAAAATCAAATTTAACTTTTGTGTAAAAATTAGGAAGTATTTAAAAAAAAACGAAAGCTCTAAAAAAGCACCTCCACTAGATGGCGACTCTAGAAAAGTTGATTTTTGCAGAAAACGAATGGACCAAAGACAGTAATTTCCGTTCCATTTACCTAACATATTAAAAAACTGAAATTTGAAAGTCCGAAACTTTGATATCAATACAAATACGAAAAAGTACAAATATAATATGAGTTGTTTATTGACTTTTGAAAACAAGTTTACATTTAAACATAAAAGAATTAAAGACAACCGGAACGGTTATCATGGAGAAATCAAGAACGTTCCGTAGCGACATCTAGTTTGATATCGGGAACTAATGTGTTTTTTTAAATGCTTCCTCATTCTAAGTCATGAACATAATAAATATATATATATATATATATTTTCAAGATATTTAGAATTTCTACCACACAAATACGGCAAAAAATAATTAAATACATTGTAACAATAAGATGTTATATATCTTTGTTGTTATAGGAGAGAAAATGTAAGTGTCTATGATTAAAATTAAAGAGACCCTACAGGTTAATGATGCATCTATTTTGATACTTTGATATTTAGTCCCGAATTGAAAATTGAAGATCAAATCGAGATTTTATATAAATAAATACAATAATAAGGAGACATTTTAATATTTCGAAACCTATATAGGTATTTAGTCACATCACACATTTTTTTTGACAAATTTAATGTGGAAATTTTTATAACTCGGCATATATCGTGCGTGTCACAATTATATTTAGATGGAATAATTCAAGTGATAATTTTTACACATAGTTATTTTTCGTTAAAGTCAATAGTCACCTAAATCATTTATATAACAGTAGGAAGATTTAATCTTTCAGTTACTTTTATGCTAATAATCTACTTACCCTAAATTCAGCTTGCTCAACTCGGATATCCCATTCTCCGGGCAACCGTCGTCCCCTAAAGTACTTCGACCAATCTGTGTTCTGATCGTCGATGGCGAGTAGTGTGACGCAACGGTCGCGGTTGTATCCACGACCCACCGACGCTACCGATGTCACGCTCCCTAAACCGATAAAGTATATAATATCCTAGCCCGAAGTGAACAGTAGTAATCAAATAGATACGAGTATAAAGTATATGGAACTATTTATAGGTTGAGTGTGACACTTCTGGCGTACACAACTAGTCGAGGGTTTCATTAGGAAACTAACTGACTTTTAATTGAGGGGGCTAACTGCTTAAATCACACATTTGCTTGATCCATTTTATGAAGAGTAAATTAAAAGGCTCCTCAGATAACAGTAAACTTAACATTAAACACTTTTACAATGTAATATTAAACATAAAAATAAGTTGACCCGATTAATGATGTTCAAGGTTAATGGAAGAAATCTCTGGCTTGCGATAAGGCCGCCTTTTGTACGTTCTTATGTAAATATTTCCGCGTGTCTATGTAATTTTCCTATTTTGTACAATAAAGAGTATTTATTGTTATTATTATAGTAAATAGAAATATGGGGGGTAAGCTATTCTTCTTTTATAACGACAAACAAGTCCGGATTTTATCAAGATTATCATGAGAATATTTATAGACGAATCAGATTCGAAAGAAACAATTCATTACCAATAATCTCAAACAATTTGTCCCTTATCACATTTTGATATATTTGCTATCACAATGTTCTATTAAAATGTTTATGAATTTCAAGTGTGTTCACGTGTTTGGATACATAGTACCGACCTCCTAAGTAGAACATTATCCGCTTAGTGATAGTTTACAGATTCAAATGCCATGTCAAGAACCTAAAATAGTTTAATTCTCACAGAACATCTCAAATACCTAATATGATTAAATTTTTATAAATAGGTACATATTTTTATCTAAAAAACATTACATATTTTTAGTATTTTTTGCTGTTATTAAGTTTCTTAAGAGCTTGCTGAATGTGGTTAATAGATTATAAACTTTGTTCTGGACGCACTGTGGCTTCGTTATTAACCCAATAAACTAGATAATAAACTCTTGCAACTTCGGCAACGGCAATAAAGAGTTACTCCTCTTAACACACGATTAAACGATTTTATGATCGTTATGTATAAGTGAATTTACTAACCGAAGTTTCTCTACACTAATAATATGTATCGATTAAATATTATATTGCTTAATATATAGGTATAATCATAGCAAAGTAATCTCTATTAATTAAGTTCTATTATTAATAAATTTCTAAAATATCCCTTTGTTTCTTGTTCAACTAACTTAACTTTCATCATAAAAGTTATTCAAATATTGTTATTTTAATTACAAAATATAAGAACATTCTGTTATGTAAATTCTATTTCAGGCATAAGTTAATTTAATTAAGAAGATATAATATGAAATGCAAGTATTTTTCTCTGTAAAATATATAATACTAATACTCTTATTACTAATGATCAAGGGTAAATAAAATATTATATTTCTAATGCAGCATATTATAATATAGCATATTATAATATTCTGCATAAGAAATTGTCTTATTAAATTCTTATTCATAAACAAAAAAAAAAACTTTAGTGACATCAATACAATAGTAATAAGAAGATTGTCGTTGATTGTTGGATAAAAAATAGTGTATCAAACTCTTCAAAAAAATTCAGAATGATAGAATTTCTGTGCTAAGTACAGTCAACAGCACGTCAGATTTGTATAATGTGTCCAATTTCTCCACTTGATCTTAAATCTTAGTATTTTCTTAGTAGTTTAAAATCAACTGAATTTTGACATATTGTAACTTTGTGTACGGAATATACTTAACCGTTACTTTGTCTGTGGTGAATGAAAGGTGCCAACTTTTAATTTATCTTTACAGAAAACTTACTACTTTATAATAGGCATTCGAATACATAAGGTAACGGTAAATAACAAGATACCTATAAGATGCGTTTGAAAAAGGTAATCATCAAGAATTTGAGATTTCAAGAGATATGAAATCCACACAACACTGAACTATTTTAAGAGAAGACTGAGTTAAAATAATAATAATGAAAATTAAGATAAAAAGTAATAAAAATAATTTTATCAATTATTAAGCTCAACTGAGGAAGGAGCTCATTGACGCAGTGATTTGTGCGCTCGATCTACGATATGGTAGATAAGCAACTTTCGCAAGGGCTGGTCATAGGATGGGTGACAAATTTATTATCTGTAATTCGTCCGTGCTTCGGTAGGCATGTTAAGCCGTTGATCCCGACTGCATCTGCAGTCGTTGACACCAGTACGTATTAGTCCCGCTTGGTAAGATATGACCCATTCTCTCTGTTCGATTTGATTCGACCCCATTCATAGTGGGAAGCCTAAGCCCCGAGATTGTGGACTCTAATAAGCTGGTGATGAAGCTCACCTAAGAGGTTGGCGCCTTGGTCTCGAGCGGCTCCAGTGAGCGATTGCACTCTTTGTAGGAGCGACTCCCTAGATTTGGCAGGCGAAGATGGTGCGGATGTACCCCGAGATCCTCCGCGCAAGTTCAGTGAGAGGTCACCACCAGCGGCGGCAGCACTTGATGGTGCCGGCGGCGGGCCTGATGCGCTGCCCATGCTGCCGCCAGTCGCTAAATCGGAAGAATAAAAGCTTATTCACTTCAATAGGATTATGTGTAACTTATATAATTTATGAACCAAGTGATTACACTACCAATTAAGCTAACAAAGACCTTAAAGCGACTGAAAAAAAATCAAGTTGTAAACTTCCATAATAAACTTTAACCTCCATGGTATAAGATTTTATTGTATAATTTCATTGATAGTGAATAAAAATATATTGAAATGTCAGAATGCTTCCGAAAAAGAAATTGTGTCTATATTTGAAAAGCTATTATGACTGAAAATAAAAACATTTTTCGATATGAAGCAACGGAAGTAGAGCCGCCTATGTACCAATAATATTCACGGATACGATTTTACAAAATTATGAGAAAGTTTCGAAATTTTGTGTACAAACCGAGTACGTCCTCAAGCATATTTCGTCTATGTCCCATTATGATCTCCAGTCACTTAGTAGAGCAGTTGCTCGGCTAGCAAACGATCTTAAGTCTAAACTTAAGGTTGAATAATTAAAACGTAATAAATATCAAATATATTATTATTGTTTAGTTTATTTGCCATAGTTTTATGTATTAATATCTCTGTCACAAAAGATTTTCTCTAAAACTCATCGATAGATTCAGTTGGAATTTAGAATACAAAACGACAATCGATGAACTAAAGGTAGACGTACAGTATAAATAAAAAGACTTGATAAAAATACTGTTAAACGACCTCTTTTGGAGGACTAATTAGAAAAGTTTCATAAAATGGCCATAGAAAGGAATGAAAATTTCGCATTTGAGCGGAAACCTCAGTGCGCAAATCCGACTCACTCTCGGTCGGTTTTATATTTGACTAGCTTTCGCAAGCGGCCTCACCCGCGTGGTTCCTAAGGAACTGTATAGTGATATAAAAGGAAGCCTAAAGCTCAAAAGTATCCGTATACCAAATTTGATCAAAATCCGTCAAGTTCTTTTATCGTGAAAGAGTAACAAACATAAATACATTCATCCATATATACATCCGACCTAATAAACTTTCGCACATCTACATTTTAAATATTATACCAAATATGCTGACGATTTCAGTTTTTACGACTGTAACATAAAACCTAGACAAGAAAATCAAATTACGTTCAAATTATTCGCTAAGTACCCAGCCCACATTTACATGACCTAATAATGCATAGTCTCAAAACTTAAAATAAGTAAGTACTGAAGTAGCATTGCTGTATGCCCAATTATTTTCAAAATTTGTCATTCGTACTTCCTTTCTTAATATTTTAAATATGCAAATTACTTTGTCTTTCTGTCTGTTACTCTTTCACACCTAAAGCACTGAAATGATTTTAATTAAATTTGCTATAGAGATCGTATTGAACTTCCATCCTTTATATCGTAAAATAAAGGATGGAAGTTTATATACGAGTTTTTATTTAAAATAACTGTACCACGCGGACGAAGTCGCGGGCTAAAGCTAGTATAGTAGTAGTTCATTACATATAACTTCTAAGTTTGTTAAGTTATGTTCAAACATGATGTTTGATAAGTCTTGTTCAAACATCTAAGTTTGTACTAAAATCAGTATCTATTTTAAATGGAAGTTCATTAAAACAATTACTATCTACCTGCATATAAAAAAGAAAATAGTACTTGGTGTAGAAATCATTAGCTTTAGATTATTATTTGATTCCAAATTAGTTAATGGTACATTTGCAGAAAGTTTTATGCTTCTACTGAAAAGTTTTAATTTATCAGTAATCATTTAAAACTTTAAAAGATTTAAATTGTAGTTGTTGTTGCAGTTTATAATAGGTAAGCCGAACTAAATAAAAAATAATTCCAAAAGCTACAAGATTGTAGCATCCCATTCCATGGTTTAATTAGTTATCTGACAAAATACTGTATTGCAATAAATTTCAGCCAAAATAGTTAAATTCTAGAACTATCGAATAATAGTCAAAATTGTAAATCAAAATGTCAAAAACTCTTGTTAAAAAATCAAAAAGTCTTTTAGACGAACAATAAAGCAGATTATATGCGTCACTTTAGAGACAGAATTGGAAAAGATATGTGCGGGACGCAGTAAAGCTTATTGACTTTTTATGATCACGTTAACGCTCAGCCGTTACGCCGTAAGAAGATTCCATTAGACCTTTGCAAACTCCAAATGAAGCAAATTCGTACTCACCTTTCAGCTTTCGTACGATATCCCCATTCAAGTGTCTCAATCAAGTATCATTTCAAACTTGTTCTTGTAAAGCGATGGTCATAGATTTTAATATTCTATATTCTAGTATTGTAAAATGCGCCCCGATGTAAATGTAATTTAATAAGAATTATGTCATATATTTACTATAATTTCTAAAAGTATAGAAAAAAAATGTTACTTTAAATATTTTACCGAGTTATTCTTGAACGTCTATTTATCTACGAAGGCTTTGGTTAACATTCAGTTATTCATTTATTCCTTAATTTCTATTACTAGTGAAAACTTAAGTCGCGTGAAATAACTCTCAGATTTTGCTATTTTCTTTTTCTGACTTGTTTCTCACACAAACAATAATAATTCGCTGGCAATTTATACTATTTAGCTGAAGTATAAAATAATTAAGTTACCTTGGGAGGCCGGCCTCTGGTTTTGCGGCTTGGGCTGGCTGGTAGTGGCCGGACGGCCGGTGTACGGATCCACCTCGCCTTCATCGCACTCGGACTGCAAGTCCCCCGAGCTGAATCTGCGCAACGCCTCCACTGAGCTACTTGCATGCCGCCACCACCGCCAGGACACAGGGACACGAGAAGGGACAAAACCGACACGCACTCCATGTAGCCACTCATTTATCTATCCATATCCGAACCCAATAGGAATAAAACCTATCCGATGACTTTTTTGAATTAAGAACAACAGTTTGAACTAAGAACAACAGTTCTTTTATATTCATTTGAAGTCCATTGTATTTAAGTTTTTTGAAACTGAAAATATGAGCATTCACTGCTTCTATATGTTCTGTCAAGTTTATTGACGCTTAAGCTTCAAATTTTGGCTGGAAACTAAAAGAGAACCAAAGTAAAAACAATGGCTGTTAAAAGCAACATTGATTCACGACAAGACACCGAGTGGATGAAGCGCCATGCACTGTCGATGATTGGAGCACGATCGCTGTGGCGCGTGTACCTTACCGAGCTGATGAGTGGTGCTACACGGACGTGAGGGGCTGTGGTCAGGCGGGACTGGTGTTGTCAGGTACTGTTGTAATCTCTTATCTAACTACATATGTATAAGAAATATTTCCCAACAACAGTTTTCTATGAAAATTTTCTCACAAAGATAAAAGATATAAAATACTTTTTACGAATAACCTGTCGATCAATTTTGTTTTAGAATCAGATACTTATGTAAAGTATCGGTAATAATAATAAAAAAATTATCTCAATTCACACAAGAGTAGTGAAAAAATTTAGTACTTACAAAACCATGTATCTATTGCACATCTATGTCCTAAGTATAATAGGTATATCTACTATTTTTTCAACGAATTTTTCAATGGACAAAGAATATGAAATCCACAAAGTTTTGTAATAATAAAAAAAACTTTAAAATATTAAATGTTAACGGAAATCAAACATCTACCTGACAACTAGATGTAGGGTTGAATGCGGAAAGGGAGAAGCGGCTTTGGCTTATAATTTAAAAAAGCGCATCATTTGTTTTTTAAATTATTAAGTAGACTACCTATTAGATCGCGATTGCTTTGTGATTCATTACAAAAAGATTAGGCTCTAATATGACAAACTGGCCTCTCTTTATTATATTACATATTGATTGAAATTACCTTCAAGACAAGTGATTAGATAAGCATAAAGATATATTTTGACTTTATAGACTTTTAACAATAAACTCAGTCATGCTCTCTAAACTACCACAGATTACTACTCATTGATTTAGTACGCAAACCAACTTTGTATTCATTACAAGATAAATATAACAACTACATTGAAACTAGACTACATTACTTAAAATTGTAAAGTAGGTATCAAGAAATTCAAACGCCTTGATTACAATGAGTATAGATTCCTAAGCATAAAATAAAATCCCAAAAAAAATATAAGCCATGCTTTTTTCATAAATCGTAAAAAAGAAAAATACCGAAGTTGAAGTATTAGTAATATAGGCATTGTACTGCCTCCATTTAGATGTTATAGAAATAAATTGTAATAATCAGTCTAATTTAAAACGGCCGAAACGTCTGAAAATTGAAAAATGTCGCAAAGATAAACAATAAAACCTTTTAAAGTAGGTTAATTTAACTATAATAAACTTGATTCATGCGTACATACCTCCGTTTCAGGTAATTGACATTGGTGGTGAAGGAGTTTCGGAAGCTTGAGAAAGACAGGGTTGATGTGGTCGCGGCCTGCGGGCCACAGATGCCAGGACACCCTGAACGGTCTATTTTGACGCCCCCTAGTGAACACAATAACATTTAAGATGAAATCTCATTGTTTTATTCAATAAAATATTCCATTTTATCTTATACTGACTGTTAAGTTACGTTTAACTTTATTTAGAACCTTAGTTTAATTCAAAGGATAGGATAAACAAAAAGAAATCCAGATTTCGATATAAATAATAGAATTATGTTCGTTTTTTACATATTTACATATTGGCAAACGAGGTAATTACAATGTTGTTGACAGCAGATATATAGCAAAATTAACGATATTATACATAATATATTCTAGATGATTTTTGTAACGATTCAAAATACGAACTTACCTCGGGTAAGTTACCCTGACTGGCAGTAATGGCAACCGAAGCGGACGAAAAGCTGATGCAGTGAGCGAACGACAAAGGATTGAAGACCTGTCAAAAATATACTATATTAGTCTTCCCAACTTAATCCAAAAAATAATAAATCAGTCCATTTCATTTTACATACACACAGCAGGTAAAGAAATGTAAAGTTATTTGTTTATTTGCATTGCATAGGCTCCGGATCTACTGAAACGATTTTATAAATTCTTTCACCAACAGGAAGCTACATCATAAGAGGATGACATAGACTATAATCTATGCGAGCGAAGTCACAGTACGACAGTTAAATAATAAATAATATTTTTATTCATATGCATAATTATCATGTTCATATTTAAATAAAAAAGCGTGTTATTCTTTTATTCGGATAGTGATAGTTTAATTATCTGTCGATTTATTATAACATTTAACAAACCACTCTGACCATTTGGAAGTAGAATAAGTTAAAAACATCCAACCCACCAGGGTTTAACTATGGTCTTATTTATATTCAGCGTGCAAAAAAGAATCGCTCAAAAATACGAGAATTGAGACGGTTCTGGAATTATTTATGTCGTTGAAGAGAGGGTCGGTTAACCCTTCCCCCAGAGTATTTTGGCAACAAATAATAACCTTCATTTTTTACTCGTAAGCACGATATACAGACAGACTGTTTTTGATACGAAAATAATTCCAGTAAGTGTCAATTAGATTAAGCTTTAACTGTGATAATTTACAAGTTGTTGAAGTCATATTATTAGAGTTCCGTAGTAAACAAGGAACCTTTATAGTTTTGCCATCTGTCCCTCCGTCCGTCCGCGGTTCGATATGAGTATAGACGTTAATTATGCCGACAAAGTGCTAAAGTAAAATATAGAAAAATAATTTTAGGGTATAGATGTAAAGTGGGGATTAGATTTTTTTCGTTTTCCTTATATTGTGGGACGTCATTAGATAGCTCTTTCAAAAGCATTGGGGGTGTGGGAAAGCCACTTTTCGATTTAATAAACTGTTTGTGGCTTATTAAAATAAATTCAATTAAACATTAATCAACATCACATACATTGCTCATATTCCAAGATTAGTAGCTAAACCGCCTTATTATGAAATATATGAGACAACGAAGGTACCACAACACCCAGACTCGAAAAGATTTATTATAGAAAAGTTCATTTTCTACATTGACCTAACCGGTAATCGAACCCGGGACCGCAGAGATGGCGGTCGTTGATAAAAATTCAAACGTTACGGCAGAAGTAGGTACCTATATATGTATAACGAAGTTAAAAGGAAAACTATAACACTTAAGTTGTCTTTACAAGTTTTCGAGTAATAGTGGACCAATTGTATTTAACTCTATTTCGGATAACTCCATGGAAAACAATAAACGGTTTTTTTTTACTTTTTATAAGTACAAAACCTTTCGTGCGCGAATCTGATTCGCACTTGCCCGATTTTTATCGTTATACCTAAATAATAAATACGCTGTGGAATTTATACTTCTTCTATACATGGTATAAAACGAAAGAAATATTGTTTTGTGGGATAAAAAAGTTTCAAAATGCATGAATTATTCATAAGGTTGACAAGGGTGGCGTACTTACAACATTTTTTATTACAGAACTTTTGTATTAGTTAATTTTTTTTCTTCTTCACTTCGCTCTACTCTAGGTTCTATTCTCAGTTATAATAATGATTTCAATGAATATTGAACATAATTGAATAGAAGAAGATGCATAACGGAATAGAAGAGAAATAATTAATTAATTAATTCGGATTAATAACAACGCAAATCATTTCACTAACCAAGGTTTAAGGTGAGTGAAATTTTTAAAGTCATTTATTCAATTTCTTATTCATAATCGTTTCTTCATAGATCGATGGTTAATATCCGGCACCTGGTTAATATTCTTTAATTTAATATAATATATTCATAATAGACAATATTTTCAGCTTGAACACTGTGAAATAATTCTGGTGGTTGAGCCACAAGCGATTATGTATGATAATTTTGGTGAAAATATTTATTTTGTTAAAACAAAAATATTGATGTGACAGTCTTATAGCGATGTTTAATCTGTGCAGCTAGCAGGACACTGCTATTGTTTCGTATAGCGCTGTCTCACTCGCTACCATGGATTAAACATTAAACATAAGAGGTGATAGTAACCAGATTGCTAAAAATGATTTTGTTATCTGATTTTATACAGCTAAGCTTTGCCTATTAAAAGGACAGCTAAGTGCGAGTTTTAACTTCAACTTAATACCTCCACGAGTTTCTGAAAAAAAGGTCGTCTAGATAACGAAGAAATTTCCATGACATATATTTTACCTTCTTAGGGTACGGAACCATAAAAATAAAAAGAAGTCTAATTAGACTTCTTTTATCTTAGAGTACCGAAATTATAAAGAATGTCACATTCTCTCATAAGTGGTAAACTTCACAGAACGAAGGAACACAATAACGTGTTTTATACATTGATAATGCTCCTTAGAAGAATTCTTTATAAAACATTCTCTTAATATTAGATTAAAGTATTAGTAAGTACAGTAATTTATGTAAAGCGAGCATATCATATAATGTGATCGATGTTTACTCAGCGTTTGAACAAATACATATATGTACTAAATAAACATAATGGAAGAAGCTGAAAATGATTTTTCAATGCAGTTGCTCATAAAGCGCTATTTTTTTAATCCATTGTAAACACCGAAAGTGAGTCTTTAAACACGTATTAAATAAAAATGTACCGAAATCCTTTAATGCGTGCTTAAAAGTATTTTTTAATTTTTTTTTGGCCGAGCACCAAAGAAATTTAAAAAAAAATTGATGAAAATATGTCAAACTTTAGAGCTAAGGAGCCTAGAACTAGCACTAGCCTAGAAATTTTTACCTTTAATACATAAGTACTTAGTTTTATTAACCTATATATTTGTTTTATTTCCTCGCAAAAAGCAAAAAATGTTGTTAGAAACTTGAGCGTAAAAGGTTTTCGAATTCGTGCCAATGAAAACCCTCGCTACGCTCGTGTTTTTAATTTGGCCCTTATTCGTAAAACCTTACTATACGCACTCGTATCTTAAATAATTATTTCATTCATTATTTTACTACCCAGGATTTATTTCCAAGTTATTATAGTTGTCTTCATTTATTTTCGTATTAAGTTTGTTTTTCTTTATGTATAAGATCAAAATAACCGAGTTAACTATCATAAATCTTTTACAAACGAGTAGAAAAACTATATTTGTATAATAATATCGTTTTACACTGTCGCACACAATCCCATTGGCATCTTGCCAACTCCAAGCAAATAAAATCTGATCTCTACTACCCTAATAAAAAAATCGTAGCATTGGTACCTTTCACACGTCGTATAATGCCCTAAAGACGTTCAGTGTACTATACTAGACATTGTTTAAGCTATTGCCGGCCGTTAACAAGCACCTTAAATTTTAAATAAGACCATTGTAGTACTACTTTGCGATTTTACTTTTATCCTGAGACATTAGAGATCACTGAAATTGAAACCTTATTTATTTACATTAATCAAATACAAAAGTAAATGCAAAACCACTTCGCTTCGAAATTAAATGTATTATTTTAGATAAAATATTAAAATTAACAACAATCTATTAATTTATATTTAGAAAATAACTGTGATTTGCGTGAACAGAGGTTTATAAAATCATTCGAATCAAACGAGGTAACTAAAATTTATTTAAAAAACGAGTTTTATTTGGTTACGACAGAATTTTTTTGACTCATTTTTAGTTGCAATTTTTGTGGCTCAATTTTAGACAGCAGGAAGCGGTTTTGTTTTAAACTATGTATAGGTATATTCTAAAATCAACTTTAAGCTCATAAGTTAAAGACAAGTAAAACTATCGATCTCATCTTTTACCTGTAATTTCAACATTACCAAAAAAGATCCAAGTCTAAGTTTTCCCAAAGGCTCATTTAATCAAACAATTATGTTAAAACTCTATTATATTGTTTGAGCATTGAGCTCAAAATCTCAAACGCTTTTTATTCCAGCAAAGAAAATATAAAAAGTGCGTATAAAGTTTTACAGACAACGAAACAAAACTGAGACACCAATCAACGAGATAGATAGAGGCAGATGACGTATTTCAAAAAATAATTTAGGTACTAATTCATCGTTGCGGAGTAGGCAGAGAAAACAGAGCACCGCGCAGCGCGATTTCATCCTAGTCTTTTAGTTCCTCCATGATCATTGCTCTTTGACCTGAACAAATAATTGTACTAATAATATATGCTTCTGAATCGTTATGAATAAATTTCTCCAAAATCATAACGATTACTGTAAAATCACTCAGTATCAAGACTAAGCTATAAAGTGACATTTAATTCATTTTCACTATAATAATTACGACAAGTTCAATATAGGTTAAATAACCTATTGAACTTGTTATTAGTTAAAACAAGTGTATAACATAAGTAGGTACTTAGTATTGTTTTAAACTTCGATGTCAAATGTCATTCGAGTGATTTATTGACGGGGTTTAACGATGTACCTTGCATTTTAACCTATAATACCTTCTTATTAGTAATTAGTTTTATAAAATCACTTTTTTGCCAAATAACTTCACTTAATATGTAATCAATTTTTTTTTTAGTTATATATTATTAGATTTTTTTTTTATTTTGTTCACAGTAAATTTGCTTTTTTTTATTTTATTCTCTTTGGGGAGCTTTCAGGATTATTTACAATATGATTATATCTATAATACTTAAAGGCTAATAACAAGCTTCTTTTCTAGTTTTCTAGTTTTGCACTCATGCCCTTTGAAGACTTTTACAGAACAGTGAATTGAAGTGGAGTGAATCGTCTTTATCCGCAATTAGAATTCGTTCGAACTCCACACCGCTTATCGAAAATTGACAGTTTCACGATTGCTAAAAAGAGGAATAAAGTTTTTATATTCGAAAATAACTTGAAAGACTTATTACGGTCGGTTTCTGAATTGAAAAATGTACAAAATCACAACTGATTCAACCTCAATTGTCATTAAATAAAAAAAATAAAAGAAACGAAACCTGTTTAAGTGACGTTTAAGTACTGTTTGAGACGTGCTTAACTTAAAATTCTCAAATCAGAAATCGGATGTTAACGAATATGAATGTAAATTTTCTCATGATACCCATCATTAGAAACCTTATATTATCCCGAGTAATACTGTTATATATATATTTCAATATTGCAGATGTTTGTCGTCGTTAAAAATATGATAAAATAATATTTCTTCAATTATTACAATATGGGCAATAAATTGAAGGAAATGAGTACATTCCAGTAATATATACTTTGTTATATTACAGGATAACGATATGGTAACCCGGTAACAGTTTTGGCTTTAATCCAAGATCACTTTCTACATTTGGTGAATCGATTCCCATAGCCCTCTCGGGACATAGTGTAGGCAGAAGGGCCAGATCTCTCTAGAATTCTCATAGCCCACCCTAGAATCTAAATTGGTTACGTGAACATATCACATCATATTCTACTGTTATCGACAGATGTTATTGGCAGAGGACCGTGGATTGTAAAGGTAGTTTGATTTAAATAAAGATAAGCTAAAAAAATAATATATCATAAAAGTCATTTTCATAAATAACA